ATGGTTTTTCAGCGCTATTTTCACTTATTTTTGTTATTTGACGCTATTTAGACGAATAGGCAAGTTTTCCGAAGCATAAAATTGAAGATTTTCCGCCAAAATAGAAACTTCCCGATAACACCGGAAATGACGTTCTAACATCATTTTAAAATATTTGATATTTAAACCAGAAAGTGTTAGATAGAAATAGACTTATTTATAGAACAATCCCCCATTTCTCACCTCAGGGAAAGTCATAAAACAGTTGGGTGCTAATGACTTTGTGAAAGGGAAAAGTTCTACACTTAGAAACTTCGAAAGAAGGGATTTGGCCTGTACCGTCCGCGGGCCGCATAAACATTGATAGGGGGCCGTATGTGGCCCGCGGGCCGCAGGTTGTGCACCCCTGGGATAATACATGGAAACACCAAGTTTTTTGTGATGATTAGTTTTAAAAAAATTTTCAAATTTTCTTCCAGAATATTTAAAATTATTTAATAAATTATTAGATTATTATAATTAATAATTTAGAGAAGAGATTGTACCTAATGTATACTTCTAGTACCAAATTATTTGGTTTCTAATTATTAACAACAACATAATAGCTTGATTAATTACAGCAATTGTTTGGCTTAGTTCAAATTAGCCTTGATGGGGAGCAGTTATTGAGACAAAACATGTAAATGTTTTTCATCTTCCATCAGCATTCAGGAATAAAATGTACAAATATTTTTTTTCCTTAATAAATATAAAAATATCATGTATACACACAAAAAAAAAACTTTTCTTCTTTCTACTTAACTACTTTTTTCCTCTTGCTAAGATCTTGAGTTAAAATTGAAAATGTGCTTTACTGTCTCTTTATTGATTGCAGCATTTGAATGTATAATGTTTACTCTGGAGTTAAGTTTGTGGATGGAGCTGCAGATCTGTTCATTTTTAATGTTTGTTTATTGTCACTTTCATCATATAACAATTATTTGTCTTCTGTAAATTATCTGAGGCACTCAAATATTATTCTTGATAAAGTAGCCTTTTTATTATAATCTTTCAACAGTTTTTTATTTTTAGAAGGCTAATTTCTTCAGATTTATGTAAAATTTAAGCAAAACTTAATGTTTCATATCTGATAGTGATGCTTGAAATTATCTAGCATGCAAAAACTTTTATCATTTATCAACTTTTAAACCAAACATTCTGAATCATCTGCAGTGATGTACTGTTCTATAAAATCACTATCACTCTCGGAATTATATTATTATACAGTGCAATGATACTCCCTAATTTATATTTCTTGCTTACTCATCTCGTAGCAAGACATTAATGGAATTTTACTATTGAATTTGATTTATATTTAGAAATTAAGTATAAATTATTTTGAATTTTTATGAAATAATTTGTGAATTATGATTTTTTAAATATAAAACTTCTAATTTTAATAATTAATTTTATATAATTTTAATAATAATTAGTGGCAAAAGATACATTCAGTTTTTCATCAAGATAATATATAAACATAAAATTGTTTAAAAATGCTAAAAACTTCTAATGAGATTTCAAATTGTGTATATATATTTTTTTTTATATAGTGTACTGCAATGCTATACAAGATAATGCTAATTTATTGCTATATAATGGTCTCATTGAAGAATTAGTTGATGTTTTGGAACTACATGATCCCAGTCTTATAGTAAGTTTTTTAAAATGTTATTTAATAGATAAATAATGCATAGTATTAAATTTAATTTTAAATTAAAATTTTGGATTAACACTACATATTTTTAAATCTTTAAATTTTTATGCAAATGTTGTTCTCTATCAAATCCAGAAATACATACGGGGGGAGTTGTTTGATTCTATACTTAATTTTAATAATCATGTTTCTAAAATTGTTAATGAGTTAGCAAGGTACTGAAATATCTTTGGAGACATTGTTTTTCTATTTATTTAAGATTTTGTGAACTATTTTTTTACTGATTTGTAGATCATACTTGATTACAGATTCTAGTTTAGGATTATCATTAAGAATACGGGCTTCAGTATTCTTCATAAGGTCAACTGCATGTTTAATAATGTTTTTATAAATTTTGGTAAATAACTTCATTAATATGCATTTTTATCTTTGTGATGATGTACAATATGGTCCTAAACTGTACTTTGATAAACTTCTATATTATAGATATTTAGTGATCTCCTTTGTTCTTGATATAAAATATTAGATTATTTCCATGCTAAACATTTAAAAATGTTTTTATGTACTGAGAGCTTTTAGAATGCTGGGTAATTGGGAGAATGCTGTTTTAGGTCTAGTAGATACAATATTTCATTTACATATATGAATTACTTTATATAAGGTTCTGTGTGTGTCATATGCCAATAAATTTATGGTGCAAATAGATCCTACATCTTAGTCTGTGTTGCATTTTGGTGTTGGTCTTTTGAGAATCATACATTACTAAAATATCATCTGCATTATCATGATGATACTGTAATTCAACTCTAGAAATGATGTCATGATGTGCAGATAATCACCCCTTAACATAACAAGTAGTTTATTATTGTGTGTAAGCATTTATTTTGTCATCAAAATGCTGCATAATTCAATACTTTGAAAATATTTTAAATTACTCATATAACTTATTATAGTAAAAAAATAAAACTGAATTATATACATGCACAATATACAAATACAAACATGTATATTGAAATAATAGGTTGTAATAATTAAGTCTAATATCAAGAGAGTGTATATAAAAAAGTTATTTTAAAAATTTTTTTCAAAGTTTTCTTTCCAAACTGATTTTGAGATTAAAAGAAACCAATTAAAAGAAAAGTTTTTTATTTGGGCATTAATTACAACAAAATGGTAGGTGTTACCTCAAGATGCATTTTATCTTGGTTGCGGTGCTGTGGTCTCCAGTGGATTATTACACCAAAATAAGATGTAAATAAATATTCAACTTAAAAACTTTCATTTTATTTTCCATACCAAATTAATAATTTAGAGAAGAGATTGTACCTAATGTATACTTCTAGTACCAAATTATTTGGTTTCTAATTATTAACAACAACATAATAGCTTGATTAATTACAGCAATTGTTTGGCTTAGTTCAAATTAGCCTTGATGGGGAGCAGTTATTGAGACAAAACATGTAAATGTTTTTCATCTTCCATCAGCATTCAGGAATAAAATGTACAAATATTTTTTTTCCTTAATAAATATAAAAATATCATGTATACACACAAAAAAAAAACTTTTCTTCTTTCTACTTAACTACTTTTTTCCTCTTGCTAAGATCTTGAGTTAAAATTGAAAATGTGCTTTACTGTCTCTTTATTGATTGCAGCATTTGAATGTATAATGTTTACTCTGGAGTTAAGTTTGTGGATGGAGCTGCAGATCTGTTCATTTTTAATGTTTGTTTATTGTCACTTTCATCATATAACAATTATTTGTCTTCTGTAAATTATCTGAGGCACTCAAATATTATTCTTGATAAAGTAGCCTTTTTATTATAATCTTTCAACAGTTTTTTATTTTTAGAAGGCTAATTTCTTCAGATTTATGTAAAATTTAAGCAAAACTTAATGTTTCATATCTGATAGTGATGCTTGAAATTATCTAGCATGCAAAAACTTTTATCATTTATCAACTTTTAAACCAAACATTCTGAATCATCTGCAGTGATGTACTGTTCTATAAAATCACTATCACTCTCGGAATTATATTATTATACAGTGCAATGATACTCCCTAATTTATATTTCTTGCTTACTCATCTCGTAGCAAGACATTAATGGAATTTTACTATTGAATTTGATTTATATTTAGAAATTAAGTATAAATTATTTTGAATTTTTATGAAATAATTTGTGAATTATGATTTTTTAAATATAAAACTTCTAATTTTAATAATTAATTTTATATAATTTTAATAATAATTAGTGGCAAAAGATACATTCAGTTTTTCATCAAGATAATATATAAACATAAAATTGTTTAAAAATGCTAAAAACTTCTAATGAGATTTCAAATTGTGTATATATATTTTTTTTTATATAGTGTACTGCAATGCTATACAAGATAATGCTAATTTATTGCTATATAATGGTCTCATTGAAGAATTAGTTGATGTTTTGGAACTACATGATCCCAGTCTTATAGTAAGTTTTTTAAAATGTTATTTAATAGATAAATAATGCATAGTATTAAATTTAATTTTAAATTAAAATTTTGGATTAACACTACATATTTTTAAATCTTTAAATTTTTATGCAAATGTTGTTCTCTATCAAATCCAGAAATACATACGGGGGGAGTTGTTTGATTCTATACTTAATTTTAATAATCATGTTTCTAAAATTGTTAATGAGTTAGCAAGGTACTGAAATATCTTTGGAGACATTGTTTTTCTATTTATTTAAGATTTTGTGAACTATTTTTTTACTGATTTGTAGATCATACTTGATTACAGATTCTAGTTTAGGATTATCATTAAGAATACGGGCTTCAGTATTCTTCATAAGGTCAACTGCATGTTTAATAATGTTTTTATAAATTTTGGTAAATAACTTCATTAATATGCATTTTTATCTTTGTGATGATGTACAATATGGTCCTAAACTGTACTTTGATAAACTTCTATATTATAGATATTTAGTGATCTCCTTTGTTCTTGATATAAAATATTAGATTATTTCCATGCTAAACATTTAAAAATGTTTTTATGTACTGAGAGCTTTTAGAATGCTGGGTAATTGGGAGAATGCTGTTTTAGGTCTAGTAGATACAATATTTCATTTACATATATGAATTACTTTATATAAGGTTCTGTGTGTGTCATATGCCAATAAATTTATGGTGCAAATAGATCCTACATCTTAGTCTGTGTTGCATTTTGGTGTTGGTCTTTTGAGAATCATACATTACTAAAATATCATCTGCATTATCATGATGATACTGTAATTCAACTCTAGAAATGATGTCATGATGTGCAGATAATCACCCCTTAACATAACAAGTAGTTTATTATTGTGTGTAAGCATTTATTTTGTCATCAAAATGCTGCATAATTCAATACTTTGAAAATATTTTAAATTACTCATATAACTTATTATAGTAAAAAAATAAAACTGAATTATATACATGCACAATATACAAATACAAACATGTATATTGAAATAATAGGTTGTAATAATTAAGTCTAATATCAAGAGAGTGTATATAAAAAAGTTATTTTAAAAATTTTTTTCAAAGTTTTCTTTCCAAACTGATTTTGAGATTAAAAGAAACCAATTAAAAGAAAAGTTTTTTATTTGGGCATTAATTACAACAAAATGGTAGGTGTTACCTCAAGATGCATTTTATCTTGGTTGCGGTGCTGTGGTCTCCAGTGGATTATTACACCAAAATAAGATGTAAATAAATATTCAACTTAAAAACTTTCATTTTATTTTCCATACCAATTGTGTAGAAACATTTTATTTTTGTTATTTAATAATGTACTTTTATTCAATGCTGTTCAGATATTTATTAGTCATAATGTAATCAACTTTCATATGGCCATGTTTTTTAGTAGTGAGCTTTGGTAGTAACTTTTTTTACAGAAATGGCTTTCAAATCCTAAAATATAATACAAGATTTGATAGCATTTGGACTGCTAAATCACTGACTAGTATGTTTAGAAGGGTACTTCAATTCTGATGACCTGGTATAGATACATAACTTTTGAATTGACAAAATGTAAAATGCATTTGTTTTAGTAAGAATAAATTTTAAATTATTTAATTTTTACATAGGAAATAAAGGCTGCTTCACTCAGGACATTAACGTCTATAATTCATTTAGAAAGAAATCCAAAGTAAGTATTTGATAATTTCAGTTTTTTTTTTTTTTTACAGGTTGGTAATTATTTTGGAGTCAATAAATTATTACTTGTTATTTTATTTTAAGGTTGACAAAGATGAGTATTGAGTCAGTGAAATGTTTGAAATTTGAGTATCAAGTGAAAAGTTAGTCAACTTGGCTAACATTCACTTTGCAGTTGATATTCAAATTTCCTTGATATAATTATAATAAAGGATATGTTCATAGAAAAATAAGTTTGCTCTAGTGAACATTATTTTCTCATAACTTTCTTTTGTAAAATTTTGCGAAAATTTTCTTCTATTTAGTTCAAGCAATTATAGTCCATATTGATGATTGTATAAATGATATTTGAGTTGCATTTTTTTTTTTGGTCAAATTTGTAATACAAACATGAATGTTTTAAATTTTTAAGTTCAGTTGTTGTGAAAAAATGTTATATTAATTCAAAAGTCTAGTTTAGAGAATTAAAAATATTTATAGATTAAATCTTAAGAGCTTAAGTAAGTAAAAGGTCTGCTTGCTTAAGATATAACTAGTTAATGTTGTTTAAATGGCACTACATATTCAAATCTTTAGTTAAGATTTTGAGATCAATTAATATTTCAATGTTTATATATAAAGAAATTATGATTAATTCTGTAAAGAATGTTTTATTGTATGTGTGTGTTTGGTTAGTGTATATGTATTGTTTAATATTTAATATATATAATTTACTATTTGAAATATATTTAAGTATGTGATTAAAAAAATATTTAAAAAAATTCAAATGTTCAATGAATGGGACTGCAATGTCATTGGTAGAAAAAAAATTAATTTCAGGATAACTGCAATTATTGATGCCACTGGTGCTGCTTATTATCATGGATTTTTGCCAGTATTAGTTAGGAGCTGTATCCATGCACTTACTGGTATGTTAAATTTTATATTTTTATTAATATTGTCAAAGATTTACAGAGTTTATAATTATATATATTTCTTTTATTAAGACTAACAAAACAATTTGAAATATTTGAAGTAAATATCTCATCTGGCCATTTAAAATATAAATGTCTAAGAATAATCTAAAAATATCTAAGCACCATATTCAGAATTCTAAGAATATGGCACCATGTTCAAAATTCAATAAACAAACTAAGTTCAGAAAACCAGTAGATTTATTTGAAAAGTAATGTTTTTGAACCTATTTGATACATCATTAGTTCTACATTCTGCATGAAGAGCTGTTGATGGATCAAATATGTTCAAAAACATTACTTTTCAAATAAATCTATTGGTTTTTTCAACTTAGCAGTTTATTTGTTGAATATTAAATATCTGTTTTAAGATAAAATTTTATTTTTAACTTATTTACAGTAAGTATTGTTTAGTATAAGAATTTATTTTATAATTTAAGAAATATTTCAAAGTTAAAGTTAAAAAATAGCTCTTTGCTATGCAAAATTTATTTAAATATTAAAATTTAAACACAAAATGATCTTTATTAATTTTTTCTTAAAACTTTCATTTTCCAAATTAACAGTTGATACAAAATATATTAAATAAAGGAACTCTTATTTTCATATTTTTAATAGTTATCTTATTTTTTATTTTTCTTTCTCAGTATTTGTTTTTATATATTACAAATTTGTAAAAACTTTAGCCATGCAGTCAGTTAATTATAGCCAATAAAATAAACACTTAGGATTGTTTTACTTTCTATTGATCTCAATCATAAATTTTTAAAAATTTTCATTTTCTGCTATAAAATGAATGTTATTTTGCCAATATATTATATTTATTAGTATTAGATTGTCTTATATACAATTATGATGTTATTGCACATATTTTTTCAAATATTATGTATTATACTAATATTTGATATTTANTTTATTCAAAGAAAATTATACAATATACATTAAGGAGTGTGAATCATCATCATCATTTCTTCTAGTGCAGAATGAACAAACCTGGAATGTGAATTCAATTTGCAGAAAACAAAAGAAAACCAAATTTAATTTGGAATTGGTCATTAACCTATTCGATGTTGAAATTTTTATTTGTTGCCTGTGACACCATGTTGAATTTTCATCGATGCTAATCCTAAAATTTTTTTAAAATATAATAATCATGTTTACTGTGTCGTAAAAAATTATTTTTTTTATGTTTCACAAACAAAATAAATATACTATGATACACTTCTTGTCTAGTTATCTGAATGGCTTTGCGAGTGCTAAGATTGGCTTTACTTTACCTCTAGACTTATTACACCACCACAGGACATCAAATTAGATTTAGGAAAAAACTATTTTGTTTTCAGAATGCATTTCGGACATGGAGTCCCTCATCAGCTTTTTGCTACAAAATTAATAGGAGGTTAACAATTTTTATAAAAAGACCATGATTGACAGAAATAAACAAAGAATGTGGACTGACATTTGACATGTGGATTGTATGCATTGGACATTAATTAAAAGACTAAGCATGTGATAAAACAAGATTTTCCATTAAAAACGGTAATGTTGCTACAATAATAAACTGAGATTATGGTAAAACAGTAAAGTCGTGAAAATATACATTGTTAAAACAAAATGATAAGTAGATTCACAGTAACATGAACAGAGTAACAAGACGATTCGGAGTACATTCCAGGGTAACCGTCACCCTCACCCCTATCCGTTTTCACATCTCTCCCCTCCTTGCATGCCTCCTCTGGTCAAATATGCGTACCACGATTCGTGTAATTTTTGACTGGAGTTGTTGTTCATGATTTTCTCTGTTTTTTTATTATTTCTAAGTGTTTGTACCATCTTCTTTTATAAGTATTTTGTTCCTTTTTAAGTATTTTGACAGTATCCTTTACAATCTGACAGCCTTCATTATTACAGTGGGCGGCTACAGCTGAGCTATCATTGTTATGTGCTATGGCAGAGATATGTTCATTGAAACGGACCTTTAATTCCCTACTAGTTTCACCATTGTAAGATTTGGATGTGGTACAGTCGCATTCAAATTTGTAAACAAAGTTTTTTTGGTCCCATATGTTAGCTTTTCTGTTAGGTACGTTTATTTTCTGATGTAAGCTGTTGCAATGTTCGGGTACCAGAATAATATTATACTTAATTAATTTACTTTTAATTCTTTCAAAAATATTCGTAATGTAAGGAATTTTAAAAAATTTACTCTGTTCATGTTACTGTGAATCTACTTATCATTTTGTTTTAACAATGTATATTTTCATGACTTTACTGTTTTACCATAGTCTCAGTTTATTATTATGTTATTGTAGCAACATTACCGTTTTTAATGGAAAATCTTGTTTTATCGCATGCTTAGTTTTTTAATTAATGTTCAACGCATCAAATCCACATGTCAAAAATGTAAGTCCACATTCTTTGTTTATTTCTGTCAATCACGGTCTTTTTATAAAAATTGTTAACCACCTATTAATTTTGTAGCAAAAAGCTGATGAGGGGCTCCATGTCAGAAATGCATTCTGAAAATAAAATAGTGTTTTCCTAAATCTAATTTGATGTCCTGTGGTGGTGTAATAAGTCTAGAGGTAAAGCCAATCTTAGCACTCGCAAAGCCATTCAAAATAAATATATTGAATAATATAGAAACAAAAAAAATTATATTTTTAAAAATTTGTCTTAATATAAAAATTGTGATGCATAGCGACATCTAGTATCAAAAACGTTCCGATGTAAACACAAAAATATTCGGGATCACTCACACAGGTCAGTGAGGTCAACACGAATATTTTCGGGAACAACGTAGGACAGGTTAAATTTCATACGAGATAGCAGCATAACTGCCTACCTCTAGTCAAATTAGTTCATTTTTAATAATTATAGCCTTTACATAGCCCAAGAATTTGGCATATCATTTGGTGTGTTTATTATATAATGGGCTATGGTTGTTGATGTTTATACATAATATGTCTGAACACACGGTTAGAAAAATGTGTGATCACAAGCAATACTAAGATGCTAGCGGAACAACTCTGAACACAAACTGATGTAGCATGCACACAATTTGGGACTTCTCTCCTTGTCACTTGTTATGCGAAACGTTGCTCGTTAAGCGAGTAATTTTTTTACAGTTTGTTTTTCTTGTTACATGAATTACTTGTTATGAGAGGTGCTTGTTAAGCAAGGTTCTGCTGTATTTAAAATAAGGTTAGTAGTGTTATTGAATTGATAGGAATTTTTATGTAAATGAAAAAAGAAAATAAATTACACAAAAATATCTTTGATTTAATAAATTGTTTTCTTTTTGTAAGTGTAAAGAACAAAAATATTAAGCATTGCATTTACTTATATATTTAATACAGTTTTTACTTAGGAGTAAAATAATTGTTTGTATGTAAACTGTATTATAAAATTTAAATTATAGTATTTAAATGCAAAAACAATGTAAAAAAACCAGAATTGTATTTTCTTAAAAAAAATAGCTCTAACATAATTAGGAAAGTAAATCTGAATTTGTTTGATATACAGTATATGTAATACACTTTTTTTTATATTAGGTAATAAGTAATTCATTTATTATTGAGTGTTTATATATGAATAGAAATATTTACTGAATATTTTAGCGAAAGAAAATTTTATTGATAAAGATATTAATTTTGACAAACTTTTTCAGCATCTAACAACTCTGTTATCTTCAAGTGATATGCAGGTAGTTTTAGGAGTCTTGAATTTGTTATATGTATTCAGGTATGATGTTTTTTCACACACAACAATCAGTTTTTCATGCATAAATTTTTTAAACAAGTTTATATTAGTAATAAAAATAAACATATAAAATAATCATAATTTTCAGATTTTTTAAAATCTAATTTTAAAAAGTTATTTTATTAGATTTTTAAATATACTTAGGATTAATACTTGTATTAACATTACAAAAACTTTTGAAATGTGTACATATTTTATGAAAATCTTACTTTATTTTTTTCCTACATATTTTATGTTTCAGGAAAGTAATTGTTTTTATTTTTAAGTATGTTCTCATAAGAAAACACTTGATAACAACTATTTACTATAAATAAATGGTTGCACAATATTGGTTGAACTGTTAAAAATTCAACCTGAAGAAATACTTTAACTTAAATTTTGATTGGTAATTTAACTTTTTAAATCTGTCTGACGGTTACAGTTGGGTCAATATGTTCGTGGATTCACCAGGATGTATGCAGAGTTCTGACAAAAACTTTAAATAGCAAAATATATAATGAAACTGTTACGCAATAGCCATTGGATATACATGCACAAATGTAATAATATTGTTTTAAAATTTATCTCAGTTGAAAAAATGGAGCTGCAATTAAAATATCAGTATGTAATAAAGTTTTTGATGTTGCTGAAAACAGACAATGCAGAAATTCACAAAAGCTGCAGCAGGCATGTTGAAAAATTTCTCATCATATATCACTATAAACAGATAAGTGAATTTAGACAAGGGTTTGCAGTATTTTTGACCAGCTGATGGAAAGAAGACCTGCAAAAATTAGCAATGAGAAATTTGAACTATGCAAGAAAATTTTGAATTGCAAATGTCAAATGAAAGCAAGTGAACTTGCCAATCTGCTTGCATACATTAGTAAGGAATCTATCTATGCCATTAGACAGGAAATAGGAGTTCAGAAGCTCTATTCCTATTTTGTTTCAAAGTTTCTTAGTATGGAAATGTGTGAGTATCATTTTCAGTGTTGCTTTTCCAATTGGAACTGCTTGATAAATGGGGTAATAAATTCATCAAAAACATTGTTACTGAAGACTAAATATGAATTTGTGGTCCTAAGAGTAAGTTTATTTCCACAGAATATTTTCAGATGAACCAACATCTTAAACTCCAAAGTGGAATGTGTCATAAGCAAGCATCTATGCATACTGTATTCTTGGATCACAAAGGAGTCATCAAGAGTGAT